TGACACCTAGTCAAAACAGAAGTTCTTTCCAATTGAGAATATATTTAATCATACAAGGTATAAAATATATATAATCATACAAGGAAATGGCCAATACATTTTCTTTTTTGATGGAAATAGTGCCAAATAGAATTTACCAGAGTTTCTGTGTTTGTGGTGCACAAATCTATACATTTGTTCTACAAATGGAGGATAAAGCTGAATGGGAAGTCACATATTTTGTGAATAACAAATAATAATAAACTCAATAATAATAATGTAGGTAAAAAAGTATTATAGAAATATGTCAGAGAGTAAATTATGAATAAGTTGGTTGTCTTTCCAAATTTTTATAATACTTATAACATTTTTCACTTGTTGAAATCTATAATTTAAAAATGGTTTTTAAATTTTTATTTTCTTACCATTCTTTTTCTTAAAGAAGATTGTATAAGTGTTAGGCACCACAAAACTTAGAACTTTCCTTGATAGGCCATAAATCTGGCCAAAGATTACTAGCAGTCAAATGAAAAAGGGAAAACTCATAGTTTTACTATGCTTTAAAAAAAAAAAAAAAGTGTCAGAAGAGAAATATAACTATTTTTACTATTAATGTCAGACATTTTCCCCTAAGTTTTTAATAATGGGAGTATTCTGTAATATTTTGGGCCTCATTTTCAAAATAGCCTACAGAAAATACAACATATTTCAGAGAGCTCTTTCTAAGAATGTCAATCCATAGGAACTTAAGATTTCACTCAATGATGAGGAAAATAAGAAATAGTGGTCTCTACTGATCTAACTTCATTATGGATTAAAGTTAGAAGTATTTAGAAACCTGCCAAATCAATGAATTGGATTTCCTGTTAAACATTAACAGACTAAACACACATTTTATCTCTACTCCCTCAAATAACATCACTAAAATAAAAGTAAAGTGATAAACCAATAATAACAAAGAGGTTGGGCAATGAGAAGAAAATTCTGGAAGATGAAAGATAGAAAACAGATAAACTTTAGCATAGCAAAGTGAATCCTAACCACCTGCAGCAGACAAAGAAAATTAGAAGTAATACTTTTTACCCTGAAGAACCCAAAAAATAAAGCCGCAGCAGACACCTCTGAAAGAGAGCAAAGGTTGGGTGGGGGTGAAAGCAGAAGGATTCCATAAATCAACATAAGTAAAAGTTAGGTTCAAGAAATAATAGCAGATAAGGACATTTAAAAAATAAATATGGAGGATTTTTTTTTTTTTTTTTTTTTTTTTTAGCAGAAACAGTTAAAAGAGTTCAAAGTTCTAGGGTTTTGGGAGTGGAAAGGTTGCTGTCTTTTGCTATAATCCTTACAGAACTAAAATATTTAACCTTTAAAATTGTGTGCATGCACTATTTTTATTTTAGAGGGTGAATTACATAGACTCCAGAAACATTTGCATTGAAGGCAACATGGCTATTTCACAATACCCTATTAACACATACAAAGAGGCTATTTCATATCATAGCTAATCCACTGCTTGGAAAACATTATGAAAGATTTAACATTTAGAATACATTTCATCATGACATATCGAGATGAATTTATTCCTGGCTGGAATGGCTCAGTTGTTTGAGTATATACAGAAAGGTCGCTGGTTTGATTCCAGACAGGGCACATACCCAGGCTGCATGTTTGATCCCCAATTGAGTATGTAAGAGGGGCAACAGATCAATGTTTTTTTCTTCTCTCTCTCTTCCTTCCCCTCCCTCTTTCTTAAAACAAAACAAATAACAAAAAATTAAAATAGATTGAATCTCTTTGTTTTGTTATCATTATCAATTTTCCTTTATTATTGAGGGCAAGTGAGTCATCAAAATTAGCTATTTTAGACTAGCTCAGAGCTTCTTAACTGTGGAAGATTTTTCCTATCTCTTCTTCCCCTGAAAAATTGGCAAAGTCACAACTGGGGGGCGGCGGCGGGCACAATACTGGCATCTGAAAGGTAGAAGCCAATTGGATAGGACAATTCCCCAAACAAAGAATTATCTAGTCCCAAATGTCAACAGTGATGTGATTGAGAAACCAAGCTCAGAGTCTCAAAGATGATTTAATCTGAATGCTATACATAAAGATTGATGATATGAAAACATTTTGCAATTTAGGACTGACTCAGCTAAATATTTTGGTGCAATGTTGGAAGCAGTTTGGCTGTGAAATATATGTTTGGAAATATTGAGAATGGTAAGGTAAAGACAAAGGACAAAGGTATAATAAGTAACAATCGTAATATATAGTGCTTTGTACTTCAATAATCTCTTTCATCCTTGGTTCTTAGGGCACTTTATAGACTAGTAATAACTACTTTGGTACTCACAGATTACCTTTTATCTAAGGATCTCAGGCACTTTCACAACACTCTCACAATGCAGGAAGTATTATTATCCCCATTTTATAGGTAAGTAAACAGGCACAAAAGTTAAGCAACTTACTCAAAGCCACACAAGTCAGTAATAGCCAACCTTCCTGACACAGAGCCTATTAATATGAGAACTGGTCTAAGCGATGCAGTGACAAATTTATGTGGCATAAGTATTATCTGAGTTTATTCAGCCTGTTGTTTTCAGGATCATATTTTGTATTTAGTATCTTATCTTTTTTTTTTTTTTTTTTTTTTTTTTTTTGCCTAACTCCCCTCAATTCCCAACATCTTAGAGACTCAGGACCCTGCTCAATATCTTATTAATAAAAGGGACTATATTTACTGAGTGCCTTCCTTGAACCAAAAATACTTAAAACACTGTGTCAATTCTTATAACAGTTTAAAAAACGTGGACTGCTATTGCTGATTTTTATCGTAAAGAAAGATGAGTTTCAGATAATTTAAATAACATGCCTGAGACCTCTCAGATATTTATGTGTGCATCCAGGCTGCCTCTGTCCTCTCTCCACTGCATCCTGCAGCCCCTCTAAGCATATGAGTGTGAATCTGTTTAATGTCCAATCCCTCCTCTCTCCTCCTAAAACTCAGAAAACAAACTAATTAAGCCTGTAGTGAGGAATTTCAGGGGTGTATCCAGATTGGTACCAGCTAAGCTCAGCCTTTTAAACCCATTCCCAAGGAAGGCCTTTAATTTTTTAAGAAAAAAAAAAAAAATTTTTTTTCCCCAGAGCTCCCTCTTGGTTACCCATATGTTCACCCCAACAGCCAAACCAGAGACCAGAACTGTGTGAGCTTCTCTCTGAGGAATAAATAGCAAGTGAATCACTTTCTTCTGTTCTCGTTCCTGTCACAGGGCGCACACTAACTGCCCACCCACCATGTGTCTGTCACCTGGGCAGAATAGGAATACTAAGTAGGAAGAAAGATTGATGTTAGGTAAGAGTGTGACTCAAGGCTCACCTACTTCTCACAAAACCGTGGCCTGGCATTTGCACCCTCCCTTACACCCGGCGATGTGCCCTGGCATTGTTACTTGGATAAAGTGAGTTCCGTTTCCTCAGGTGCTTGTCAGCAGCAGCCCGCCCAGCCCGGGTGCAGAAAGCTTAGATGACGTGCACCCGAGGATAAGATTTACCTTAAGGATAGAAAAATAGTGCGCATTAAGAATAGAAAAAAAAAATAGAGGCAATCACCGCTCATATCAAATTAGCATTAGTGCAGCTTCAGTGCTTTTGCACCAAGTTCACTATTTGCAAAGACGAGGTGTCCAGGCAGGGTGAAGAAGAAAACTCGAAATAGGATTGAGACAGCCAGTGCAACACACAAGTCGAAATGTTTCTCATGGAAGCCTAAGATCACAGTAAACTCTTGATACCTCACTGTCCACTTAAGTCCCTGCTTTTAGGTAACCTTTTAGGTGACACTTTTCTTACAAGGGGCGGTGCTGGGCTTGCTTCACTTCTTTCTGTGCTGCCCCTGCCACCCTAGGACCTCTGAAAAGGGGCGGCGAGGAGGAGCGGGACACGAGCGCGTCTTCCCCTCCCGGCTACTCAGGCCCTGAATCATCCATCCCAAGCGGACGGACTTTCCTCCCCAGCCTTTCCCTCCAAGAATCCGTCTTGTACTTAAAAGGAAAAAATGGTAGGAGGCGGAGAGGCGGAGAAGCGGAGCAGGGCGCAGGGTGTGGAGGGCAGTTCCCGCCCCGGGACCCCAGCGCCGCCAGGCCGGCCGCCGGGGCCGGAGCCAGGAATGTGCGGTCCGGGCGCCGGCGGGCGCCGCGCACCTGAGCGCCGGGGCGGGGCGGACCCACCCCGCGGCCGCGCCCTCCGCCCCTCGGCCCTTTCCGCCGGCTCCTTCGGCGGCGCTCGGCTCCCTGCCCGCCCCTCGCTCCCCCCCTCGTTCCCTTACTCCCTCCCCGCGTCCCTCCCCCCAAGCCCGGCAGAGCCAGGGGCTCCGGACGGCAACTTGGCCGCGGTGCCTGTGGCGCGGCGGCTCGGCTCACCTGGGAGCCCGGCCCCCGCCCCGCGCCGCACCCCCAAACCGGTGCCAGGTACGGGCTGCCCACGCCCCGGCCCGTCCTGACCCGCTGGACGGACACCTGGCGTCCGGCGTCCGTCCTCCGCGCCGGGCCCGGGCTGGGGGCGCCGGTGGCGGGGCCCCGGCCGGCTGCAGCCGCGGGGAGCGCGGGAGACGCGTCGGGCCGACAGGTGGCGGGGTCTGCGCGGCGCCCGGCCCCGCGGCGCGGCCCGGCGTGGACGGGGCGGGGCCGGGCCTGTCCCCGCCCCTCGGGGCGGGGTCGCGGCCGCCGTGTAGGTGTGTCGGGAGCCGCGCAGGTTGGGGACTCGGCGGCCGCTCGTCGGCGGGACTAGTGGGCGCTCCGGCGGGGGCTGCGGTGGGCGCTCCGCGGGGCGCTCCCTCCGGCGGCGCGGGCACCTCACGCTCCCTCCCGCCTGTGCTTCCCCGCAGACCCGGCGGCTGCGGACCGGGCAGCCCGCGCCCGGCGGTGTCCGCTCGTCTCTGCGGGCCCGCGCGGAGGAGGCGGCGGCGGCGGCGGCCGGGGCCGGGGGGCGGCCGGAGGTGAGCGCCCGGCCGGCCCGCGGCGAACATGGCGACCGGTGGCTACCGGGCGGGCGGCGGCGGCGGCAGCACCACGGACTTCCTGGAGGAGTGGAAGGCGAAGCGCGAGAAGCTGCGCGCCAAGCAGAACCCCCCGGGCCCCGCCGCCCCGGGCGGGGGCGGGGGCGGCAGCGATGCGGCGGGGAAGCCCCCGGCGGCGGCGGCGGCGGCGGCTCCGGGCCCCTCGGCGGCCGGCGCGGGCCCCGAGCTCAACAACCTCCCGGGCGGCGCGGCCGCACCTGCCGCCGCGGGGGGCGTGAACTGCGCGGCCGGCCCCGGCCCGCGGCGGCCGGAGGAGGAGCCCCCCGCCGCCGCCGCCGCCGCCGCCGCCGCCGGGGCCCCGCCGGCCCGGGGCGAAGAGGAGGAGCGGGACGGCGCCCCCGAGAAGGGCAAGAGCTCGGGCCCCAGTGCCCGCAAAGGCAAAGGGCAGATCGAGAAGAGGAAGCTGCGGGAGAAGCGGCGCTCCACCGGCGTGGTCAACATCCCCGCGGCCGAGGTGAGCGGGGCGGGGCGGGGGCTGCCGCCTCCCTCAGCGGCCTCCGGGGCTCTGGGTCCCGCGCCCGCACTTTCCCGCTGTCGCTCCCGCCGCTTATCCTCCCGGGCCGGCCGGCAGGCAGGCAGGCAGGGAGGCGGGCAGAGGTGCTGGAGTTTTATCCGAACCGGCGCTTCCCGGGAAGTTCCCGAACCCGCCGCGCACGTGCTCCGCCGGCGGAGCTCCCCGGCCCGGGCTCCGCTCGGACGGCGCTGGCAGCACAGCTCCTGGCGCCGAGCTCGCTCGCTCAGACTTGTGTTTTTGTTTTTCGTGCTTGGTCAGTTAGAAAAAATTGATTAATGGTGATGACGACAGATTCTATTGAGTTTCTCACGTGTCGTCCGGCTCAAATGATCAGATTGTTTATCTCCTCTCGCAGCAGTGTTTAGTAGCACCTGCAAAGGGGAAGAAGGCTTAGCCTGAGTGTATCCCAGACAGCTTTGTCTTCCACTCACCCCAGATGAGTGCAACCAAGTGAATATATGCGCTTTCCAGCACACACACACACACACACACACACACACACACACACACACACACACACACTTTTTGTCCTGAGTAATATTTAGGACAATGGAACGCTGTAGCAACTCAAACTTTTTTTTTTTCTTTTTTTCTTGAGACGCTTTCTCCTCAAGTATTTGGCTCTGTGTGTTCTGGAAAACATTTGTGGTAAGGTTTTTTTTTTTTTGTTTTTTTTTGCAATCTCAAAACATTTCTGCAGGCTGTAGCATCTTTCCATTAGAGTGACTGGGGAAATATTTTTAGCGAATAGCTGCACCGCTTTACCCACAACAAAACAAAACAAGACAAAGCAATGCAGTTCTATACAAATGTTGATTACTTCTATAGTAGCTCACAGGTTTTGGGAAGTGATTCAACCACCTTGCTTCATCCAAATATACCAGTCAGTTGCATCTTTTTTCTCATTGGCTCTTTAGGTTTTACCTTTTTTTTTTTTTTTTTTTTTTTTTTTTAAACTCCTGGTCTTCTGTTCATTCAACTTTGACACCGAGAAGATAGTAAGGGTTACTTAACTTTAATTGTGGTTCAAGTAAAAGCATTGGCATTAAGTTAGAACTTATATCAAACATACCCATATTTTTAAGTCTGAATATGATTTCCGCCCCTGGAAAACCAGTTTGTCTTTGAAGGGTATATTTTTGTGAGTGTTTAAGGGAGATTTTTATCAGGCAGCAAAACTGTTCACTGTGGTTTGCTACTTGCACAAAAGATCTGTTATTCATTAAATTGTTTAAGAAGGAATTCTAAAAGTGGTAATCAAATTTCTAGGTTTTTTTGTGTGTGTTTGTTTAGTTAAAAATATGAAGATTAAGGGGAAACTGAAGACAAGGCTTTGGAAAAACTACATTCCTCAACTTATTTTTAAAAGTAGCTGAAGGTCCAAATAAAAGAACTTCTCATTTTCAGTCTTTTCCTCATTATTCATCTGACAAGGTTCTTATTTGGGAAATACATTGTCAGATGTTAGATTTCATTATTTATCTGGCTGCTTCTGCTAAAAAGATACATTTTTGTTTTATTTTAACAAGGGTAATGTTTACTGAGGGAAATAAGTATGATGTATCTTGTGAGATCCTAAGAAACATCCTTTGTTAGTACTTCTGCTGCGGGTAAGGAACATAGTGCTGAGAATGTAGATGACTCCCCATTACAATTGAGTCTAATACTCTGGAATGTTTTTCATTTGGGTGTTGGCAACTCCTAAATTTAATCTTCCTTAAAAACAAACAACCCGGGGTACCTTTTTTTTTTTTTTTTTTTTTTGTCTGTGGAATTTGAACCTTTTTTATTGAATGGGGAATTGAGGACTGCTTTCTTTTTGTGGTTACTATGGCTCTGTTTCATGCTGTAGGACTCAACAAAACACGGTCATGTTTTACCATAGTATCTAATTAGCAAGCATGCTTCTTAATAGCTCCTCCCCATGTTTTCAGTTTAAAAAAAACAGCAATTGAAGTCTTTGAGATTATTTTAGTAGTGGTAAAAGATATGGCTCAAAACTTTGAAAGTGAACCATTTTCATATCTTTTGCTTATTGACTTTTAGAATTTGTGACACTCATTTCTATTAGTTATTTCAACATTGAGAAAACCAGATGTGGAGCTTTGTGGGCAATACTACTTAGCACTCCTGGTTTAAAAAGTTAATATAGTTGTTTTGCAATTTTTTTAGGTATCAAAGCAGAAAACCACCAATCTGTCAGTATTCAAAAATAGACTTGTATTATATATAGTGTTGAGTAAGATTTATTTTCAAACCCTATTCCCAACCAAGTTTATATTAGATTAGCATGTAATTTGTATGCAAATAGCTTATTTTAGTGATTGATGAACAGCAAGTTTCTTCAAGAAGTGTTTATTAAACATGTGTGACACATTTGTTGACTTTGATTAATTCATTTTACTAACTACTAAGTATTATAAGTTGTTTCAAAGGTACCTGACAGCAGCTAAATATACCAAAAGCAACTAGAAAGTACATTAGGAAGGAAGCAGGTCAAAAACTGAAAACAGTGGCTGAAGATAAAATACTGGGTGGATACTGGGTCTGATGACTGTAATAAAAAGTGCAAATTTACAGATGCTTATTAGTGAGATAAACTTTAATTCTCATCTACAAAGAGATTTTTTTAAAAAGCTTTTTTTCTAGTTTTTTTTTTTGGAAGGGGGAATAGCCCATATTGGATATTGGATATGATATACTTTCTGCCAATGATTATTGTATGTTTATTAGATCAGTCAAATACTTACTACATGTATGTATCCAGGTAATATCATTAGCATTGTGATGAAAAGAAGAAGTAGAAAGACTGTAATCTAGAAAGAAAGCTAGGGCATCCTATATATTAAAGAGCTAACATGCTAATTAGACCGAACAGCAGAACGACCTTCCAGACGAAGCTGGGACTTCGAGGGCCGAGCAACCAGAATTACAGAGCCCCTTGCATGAATTTCATGCATCGGGCCTCTAGTAATTACATGAAAAACTTAGGAACCGAGTTAGTTTAAAAGTCATATTAATAGTTTCAATTAATTGCTTACAAGAAATACTGTGTGTTTAAGGGGAAGAGTTGATTGGCTGAGAGAGGCTATTGAAGATGAGGGTCTTGAGCTAAGTCTTATGTTTCTATACCCTTATATTCGTACATACATGTATACATACCTGTTGTATGGTATTTTAAAAGAGTGCAGTGGTACTTACTGTGGCAGCACATTATTATCATGTGAGGATCTTAACAAAATACGCTCCTGTGCTGATTACTACTCTTGCCCTCTTCCTCCCTGACCCCCTCATGATTTAGTGGGTTTGGGATGCATCCCAGGCAATAATATTTTGATAAGCTTCCCATGTGATTCTAATGTGAGTCAAGGTTAAGAACTATTGGGCTGCAGTCCGGGATACAGAAATGAATAGGACACAGGTCTTGCCCACAAGGGACTCCCAAGTAATAAAGGCAGTAATGGTAAGTACAGTGTGAATGTACAGCCTGTTTCCTGAGCAGGGAACATAACTCAGTGAGGGAGGATATGTTTGAGGAAGATTTCCTAGATATTATATACCCCTGTTTTCAGAGTGCTTGTTATTGCTGTTGAATAGGTTGCATGAATGGGTAACAGATGATTACCATCGAAAATAAACTCTAATAGGTAGAACTCAAATGAAACTAAGGTTTTGATTTAAATAGAAGAGGTAACATATATTGGAACATAGATTTCATAGGAGTTGGCTAAAGTACTTTATGTGTTGTCTTAATGCTCACAGCAATCCGATGTGGTAGTTTATTTACTCTCTTTATTCCCATTTCCAGAGGAAGTAAAATGGATGCTTAGAGAGTTTAAAATGACTCTTGATCACATAGAGGAATATTTTAAGAGTGTGTGTGAGTGTGTGTGTGTGTCTAGAGGAGGGGAGTTTTAAAGAATTAACCTGCCTTTCATTATTTACCTTGTTTCCCTAGATTTTTTAAAATAACTTTTTATTAGAGTTATCTTAAATTTAAACATCTAAATGGGGAAAACAGTGAAAGTATGGAATTGAATAGAACTTAAGGTCAAATTTGTAGGCTCAGAGATTGCTTTTGACCCTCTAATCTATAGTTTGCTTGGCAAAAATTTGCCAGGCCATCAGCAAAATATGCTGTTTTTGGCTAGCAGTCAGAAAATGTGGATCTTTGATTTTACTTGAGTGATATGTTGTTCTGTCAAGCTGGGGTTTTAACACCTACTCCATAGTTTAAAGGAGATTTTTAAATGAGCAAAATGTAAGTAATTATTCATATTTGTTGAACATTATATTGGACAAGTTCCACTTAGTAAACTTTATAAATCCAGGTAGATTAAGAAACGCCATTTGGAATGCCCATTATATTCCAGACTGTCTACCTACCTGTGGTGAGTCAGGGGAGGAACTAATAGTGAGTCAGAGTTGGAAAAATATAGCATAAACACTGAGGTTGCTTAATAAGATATAAGCCAGACTTTCCTAAATGTTTTACGTCGTTGATAAAGTAAATTGAATTTTTAAAAAATATGTTTTATTGATTTTTTTACAGAAAGGAAGAGAGAGGGATAGAGAGAGTTAGAAACATCGATGAGAGAATCATTGACCAGCTGCCTCTTGCACACCCCCCACTGGGGATGCGCCCACAACCAACGTACATGCCCTTGACCGGAATCGAACCCAGGAACTTTCAGTCCGCAGGCCGATGCTCTATCCACTGAGCCAAACCGGTTTCGGCTGAATTTTTAATATTATGATTTATAGTGAGTTGTCTAAGATGAGATACTTTTTTTTGCCATAAAAATAATTGTGTAAATAAAGTAGATGACATTTCTGGTGTGCTTTATTAAGTGACCCAGGCACTCTTCTAAGCACTTTACATATATTGGTTCACAACCTTAAGGGAATATGGGGGCCTGCTGAGAGGGTAAATTACTTGT